CAAAAAAAAAAATCTGAATTTGAAGCGAGATCTGCAACTGATCCCACCTCCACCTTTGCTCTGCCCTTCTGCCCGCTATCCTTATACAGTATCTCTGATATTAGCCTACCTTTAATAAGCCAGAGTGAGGACAAAGGCATATGTTTTTTAGTTTTGACTGGTTGAAACAGTATAGTTGAATAGTGAGACAAGCTCCTCTGTGCTAACATGAAATGGTGCAGCCTTAAATTAAAGCTATAGAGAGTCTCCCACAGTTTATACCACTAGTTAATACTGGTAGTGATGGGAGCGTCTCTATAGGCTTGTGCAACCTAGTGGCAGTGGTGGATATTAGAAGGCCGGAGTGAAGAGGATTGGGGCAAACAGAGGTAAAAAAATTATTGCCCTAACATTAGATATTATGGTGTTGGAAATAGAGAGACCTGAGTTAGGAATTAAATGTTGGGTATGGGTTTGATAAATATGTAAACATATCAAATCTCAGTAGCAAACATGGATGTAGAAATCAGATAATTGACTGAAGACAGAGAAGAGCAAAAGTCAAAAGTCAGAAATTCAAATGTTTAAAATGGGCCTATAGAGATAATGGAAAACTTGAGGGCAAAGCAACCCCACCACCCTGTGCATGTGACCTCGGTTATTGAAAGTGAGAGTAGCCTGAAGGAGTGGCTTCACCTTTCATAATCCCTTGGGGTGGCGATTATGAAATATTCATATTTCGTAATATGCACATAACACATAACATGTAGAGGCCTGTGGCAGCCCATATTACATTCTACAGGACTTCAGTCTGAGGACTTCAATAAGTCCTCAGACAATGGCTGCTGTCCTAACCACCCTGCTAAACAAAACAGTGTCTATCGTGGGATTTTTTTCATCTCTTTGGGTAAAGGAATTTATCGACTATCAGAATGACTACTCACATGTCTCATATTCAGACACACAGTAGTCAGTTTTCAGAGTTACGTATATATAATATCCCAGTTTTTAGCTGAACAAAGCTGCTGTACCAGTGCCTGGTGCCAGAATAAAGTACGGCCTTCAACCTGCTGTGACGTAAAGATACAGATAAAAAGAGCAGCCAGAGATTTGAATAAAAATAAAACTGCTCTCTTTGATGTAATATAATGAGATTGGTAAGGACAGCAAGGCCAAGGCCACCACAACTTCGATACCATTGTCTATTTCCGGTCATAGTCTCCTGCCACCTCCCCTGTCCCAGTGGTCCTCAGATGTGTGTGCCACAGCACGCAGGCGTGCCGTGGGATTTTGTGATAAGCACACATTATTATTGCAATATATAACTGGGCTTACACAAAACGTTATGAAATTTTCAGTTATGTATTTCAATCAGCATGTTGTGCACACCCATTTCCTAACAAAGAGGCAAACTCTAGTTGGAATATGTAATTTAACAATTTAACAGGATTTAAAAAACCTGGGAGGAGGAGTCATGCCCCCCCCCCCCCCCCCGCCTTGGGCAAGTGGCATCTGCATCTTTTGACACCCCGGACACATAACATGCAGAGGCCTGTGCTGTGTCAGCATCACATTCCCACCTGCGCTTGAGGGTAGATTGTGGAAGTCCAGCCTTGACGGATTGGAGAGAGACTTGCAGTGTAGTAGAATCCCATTTTAAACGTACAAACAACCATGAGTTGTGAAATAAAGAGTTGAACTTTGACACATTAACTAACAGAGCAGCGCTGTCCTGAAAGTATCTTCAGTGCAGCCAGTAGTTGAAAAAAGATGACTGACTTTGGGGCCCTGTCATCCCCATGATATGTCATTAATTGCAGGTTGTCAGGGACCACAAGGTGGTACTGGCCTGAGCGAGATTCTAGCATCCCTTTGAAAACACATAATTGTAATAAAACATTACATATTTTTGGTGGTAATAAAAAGTGCTATTAGAAAGTGGATATAGGAGTACCATTTTCTGGGAATAACACACACTCAGTGTTATACAATGTTTCTCTGAATCACCTGTGCTGGGCTAAACGTACAAGATAATGTTATCACTCACCCAGTAAAGCTGCAGTTAAGTCATGGGGCTTTGCTGCAACAGCTTTAATTGGTCTGCATCAACCAGAAGCCTACAGTGGCTAATGTTTGCTAACATTAGCAAACGAGGCTATGTACATTAAATTAGTGACCTCTGGGGCTCCAATCCTGAATGTTTTCCCCAAACCTTGAATATTTTAGGTTTTTACAGTACTTACAACTCTTTATCATTCAGATGTAAATATATCGTAAAACTTAAATTAATAGTCTGGGCTATTATTTGCTTAACTCACTGAAATCAACAGGCCTATATTTGGGACAAGCATCTACATGGGAAGTTTTTTAGTTCGTTTTGCACAAAATTCTGGCTCAGCAAAGATCAGGAAATATGATCAAATTGTTTACTCAAACCAGTATGAATATTCTTGTTTAAAATTAGGCTTCAGATAATGTATGAATTATGAATCATTGATTTGACCTAGCTTTGACAGACAGATCATCAGAGCACTCGAGGATCACGGCACCTGGCATACTGACACAACACCACTTTATCCTGTTAAAACAATACTTGCAGCTTGGATTACTTTTAATGAAAAACTCTTGATTCTTCTAATCTGAAGACCCTTATGGACTAAAGAAATTTGAATAACTTACAGGGTAATCGAGGAATGGACACATAATTTGAGATAGACAACAAACCGGTTTTATGAATCTGAAGAACTTCTACAAAAAAAAGAAAAAAAAAAGAACTGCTTGGCAACCAGATCATCATTATTGATATTTATCTCACATGTTCATTGGCCAAAACTGCCCCTCAATTACAATCAGGGAATACCCACACACTTGTAGCTTTTCAGGTGCAATCAATCAATTGATGTGTAGGTATAAATAGCAGAAATCACAGTCCATAAAGATGCACAATGGTTTATTTGGTGGCTGAGTCCCGAAAATTAACAACATCTGGCTCCACCACTGGGTCACTGTTCAGCAAAACTTAGATGGTTTTTCTTTAAATCCCTAAATGTTCTGGTTTGACTGAGTCTGTTCTAAAATAAGCTCGTCGGATGCTCAATGAACACAGAATCAGCCCCGTACAATTTTTGTTGCATACAAATGCTAACTTAGCTTTGTGCCTTTTCTAGTAAATAACTGAAAACACAATGATTACCATGTACTTATTTGTATTCCATGTTAACATAATTTCAATTAATAAAACTCAGGTAAATGCTTTGGTTGATTTTTTTGAGTGCTCCTTAAATTTGTTATCTGATATCACCTGTTGTTTTGTTTGACCTCAGAACAGCCTGACTCTTTGGTTAACTGTTAAAATAAAGGGTGGATGTGGTGGTGTTTGTTGTAACGTTACTAGACAATGCGGTTCATATCAGCTAACGTTACATTTAGCTTGCTTATAACTTCCATGTCATCATATATTGAAGTGAAACAACGTCTAACAAGTTGCGGTATATTCTCTAAATAAAAACAAAACTTACATACCTGTCGATTAGGAAAAGGGCCAACTCAGGATCAGTTTTAAAACCTGTCAAATCTCTCAGCTCTGTCCACTTGGTGAATGCCCGACCGAGGTTTACACGCGCTTACAAACTAGGGACAGTTTTATAAATGGTAAAAAGTTCCGCACAGCTGCTTTAAGGTAGCCTGGAAATCCAGACCCAAATCTAGAAAGATTTAGGATCTGGCCATGAGTAATGAAAATGGCCCAAATCGAGGGGCAGCACCAAGCATGCATTTGAAAATATCACAATTGGATAACACTATGACCAATCAGAACAATACACGGGGTGACGTATCCAGAGCGCTACCAGCGGAGCTAACTGGCAGATTAGACTCTTGCCGTATCTGGTCGGCAAAACAGCAAAAATGTCCTTCTTGTAAAAGAAAGATTTGAGCGCCGTCTTCTGTTCCTCTTTTAGAGAAAAAGCCAAGTCTAACTCGTTCATTGTAGCGGACAAAGCCATTTCAAACAACTGGTGTTCATCCGTAGCCATCTTGCAATGTTTACTGACTGATTCGTTGTCACAGTGCTGTCGTCATCTGTTTAGCTCGCCTCTGGCCCGCCTATATCAGATACACCGATGTGATTGGTGCAGCTCGGTTTCATGGGCATAGGTAATGAGCATCATTACTGATTGCCAGAGTGACTCGCTGAGCAAATTCAAATTGTACTCTCGCAAGAACTCTGGATTTCAAGGGTAAAAATAAGGTGCGTTGCATAGTCAATTCTGAGGGAGAAAACATGGATGATCTCTTTGGCCAGTAAATCGATCAATTATTAATTCAGCTTCAGGCTACATGCTAAAAAATTAACATTTAGCTACTCTTAAGTGCCAATATTCAGGACTTTAAGACTATTTCATAAGTGGTTTTGTAACATGACATTTTCCTCACTTACATTTAATAACATTTGCTTTCACCAGGCTTTTCACACAGTAGCCATCACCGCTGTGGTGAATAAAGTTAATGTTTTCAGCGTCCCTGTAAACCTTGACAGTGAGCCAGCATGCACAGTGCAGGGCCCTGAAACTGATGCAACTAAATGGAATGCAGCCATTAATAATTTTATGCCTTAAGAAGTTTAGTTGTGAGTTTTGGTGCTTTTCCATTCATGTTAATGGTCAAATTTCTGAATATTTGACCAAGGAAAAGACACACGCACTTCTTTACAATGACAATGCATTAACCTTTGCCTAAATGTTAAATGTCTTAGATTGAATACAGCTGTGATATTTTGTCTTTTTTTTCTTTCAAAGTAAGTAACAGTCTTTTAAGGCACCTCAACTAACTGATCATGTTGGTCAAACTGAATCAGAATCCACTCAAAAAATGAATTAATTTCTTCCAGACGGGAAGTGGATGACCTCGGAGACTGTTTTATAATACCCTTGTGCTGTTACGTGTTCCTGCCCTGCGGTTCTACCTGATTCTCCAAAAGACAAGAAAACTCATGAAACGAATACGTGCCAGGTGCCGTTAGATAATGAAGTTTTTCGTCCGCAGGTCACGGTATCAGTCACTCCCCTCTCTCAACAATTTGCATTGTGACAGAGCACAGTCCACTACCGTGTTGGCAGCCTCTCGCCCGCTGACAAGCAGTAAACGCTCACCATGCCGTCCGAAAAAGGTAAGATTATCTGCTTAATTGGTGCATTAAGGTGGGGTCAGCTATCATAAGGGCTTAATACGTATCATAACTTTAAGGAAAAAACTTCACCGGAGTTCAGTGAGAATCTGTAGCGCATTTATCAGACCAAGTGTAACGTTATGTTCCCACAGGCAGCTGCTACCTGCACAGAAGCATGTTGCCTTCGTGGACTGAGGAAAACGTTTTTATGCAGTACTGTTGTTTAACATTATTGTAGAAATACATATTACGTGTGTGTGTGTGTGTGTGTGTGTGTGTGTAATGTAAACAATAATCAAAATACGACAGTCAAAGCAACTTTGTACCCCAGCAGAGGATATTGCTCGACTGCTGTGAGTAGGTACGATTAAAGGAAACCTTAGGCATTTTTCAACCTGGTTTCTATCTCCCTGTGTAAATTGATCAAAGAGACTGGTGTGAACAACAGTGTTTAAAATTGGTCCAGTATTAGGGGAGCCGGCAACAGCTGCGAAACAGGCTGGAAACAGGCATTTTGTATTAGTGTCTGAAGTGTCTCTTTACCTTTTAATTGATCCTGTCTGTTTATTACCTCCTTAAGCAGAAGTCTCTTTCTGAAATATCACAAGCTATCATGAGATGTCACTTGTTGCAGAAAAACAACAATGGAAACATGAGTGAGATTTGGAGAGAGTATAATAACTGGAGTAGTTTATTGAAAATATATTTTAGTGTTGTCTGAAAGATTTTTAATATCATGAATGATTGTTTACCTGATTTCGACAATGTGGCTCAGGCCTTTGAATTTCATCACCACCCATATTTATTCGTGACAGAGTATACGCATGGAGAGTGGACGAGGAGAGAGACAGAGAGAAAAAGGCAGCAGTTTTAATTTTACTCTTTTACATATTCATTACATCTTGCTGATGCTTCTTGTTATTACACTATCCCCTTTGCTGCTGTAACACCACGAATGTCCCCGCTGTGGGACTAACAAATGATTACCTTATTAGAAAAGACTGTGTATAGGGGCTGGTACAATAACAAACATTAGCATCATCATTCATAGCCAGTAGGTATCTCCTTGATGTAAAGGAAGGACAAATGTGGGCATAAAATATAATAAAAATATATTAAAGGTTGTATAATACCAAAGCATAGACATATTTTTCTGTTTCATAGATAACTAGTCCATACCCATTGAGTGTACAGTTGCCCATGTACAGTTTCACATGGTGTGTGTTTGGGATACAGGTCATAGGAAATTGCAGATTAAATAGTCAACTGAACCCATTAAGAAGAGCAATGTATTCAGACAGAGTTTTTGTGAATTTGATAGTACGATTGCTACAGTAGTACCATTGCCAATAGTGGGATAGTTAGTGGGCTGAAACTGTACATTCGTAGCTGAGGTAGCACGTTGAAAGGCAGATAGTTAAAGTGTTTATATGTTCTATTGACTTAAAAGTGGGGTGCACTGATAGAATGACTGACTGACTGACAGAATGACACACTGACAGTTTCCATGATTATGCACAGCATACCATACCATGACTTAGTCATAGCAAATATTAGAAAAAAACCCAAAAACATTTGGCCACAGGGGGAGCCACAGTGATTGGTCGCATTTTAGCCATTTTAAGCATTTTTTTGTTGTTATAGCGCCCCCCAGTTGCAAATTAGAGTTACATTTCTCCAGTCATCTTGAGGCGTCCTGTTCTACATATCGACCAAGTTTAGTAAATATCGATATGGCGGTTAGGCCTAGATAAGAAATTAGCTCTCTAGCACCCCCATTTTGTTTGATCGGGTCAATACTGGAGGGGACCCCTCAGATTTGTGTGGTTATCTGTGAAACCCTGGAGATGTTATACAGCTTTATGTGATGAGCCACGCCCTCCGCAATATTCATTGCCTTATAGAAGCTCAGTTTTAGTAAGTTTTCCAACTTTTTCCAAGAGGGAACTTTAGATATTGGTCCCTAGATTATGTTCACCCAGTTTCATGCAGATCGGTCAAACTTCCTAGGAAGAGATCGATTTTAGGGTTTTTTCAAAAAATTCAAAATGGCGGAAAATCTATACAACCGGAAGTTATGGGTTCTTGATGGAAATTTGTTCCTTGTGAGGAGAGGCATCTCTGTGCAAAGTTTCATGTCTCTACGACATACGAGGCATGAGATATGCCCATTCAAAGTTTGCAATTTCAATCGGTTGCTATAGCGCCCCCTTTGGCCAATTGATGTAATATTGCTTCATTCGCATCCTCCTATGACCCTCTACCACTGTGCCAAATTTCACATGGATTGACCAAGTCAGTGAGGAGAAAAACCATGAACAGACACACAAAGACACAGAGTTTTCATCATTATAAGATGTCAGCTTGATATCACTTTTTTTTATAATTATGAATGTCAGCTGATGAAAATGGGTAATCAGTCTGTATAGATTTGTTATAATCAGTGCTGAATCAGTTACTATTTTTCACCTCCTAATCATTTATTGATCAATTATTTTTGCCATTATCCTTCTGTGCTTTCATGTATAACATTATGCAATGCTACGGCCTTGGAGTTAACAACAATGCTCAATCATATTAGGGCTGACAAAATTACAGTTAATCTATTAATCTATTAATTAACTGACGGTCAATAAATGCAAAACATAACTTTGTTCCACCCTATTAGTTGCATGTTTTTGCTTTTTTTTTTGTCTCATGTGGAGATAAATGGATACATTTGGCTTTTGGACTGTCTGTCGGACCGAACAAGTAATTAGAAGATGTCATGTTTGGGTTTGAGTGAACTAATCAGCATTGTTATAAAACGGTTCATCAAATAATTGTAAACATTGCCAACAGATCACTGGGTAATGAACATAATTTATAGGTACGGCCCTACATCATATTGACCTGAACAGGGAGGAGCAGGACAAAGACTAGTTGATTACTAAACTTAAATTTTATTACGTTATTCCCCTAGTTCCCGACACCCCAGTAGAAGTCCTTGCGGATCTCCTAAGGAAAGCCAAGGAGATAGCTGCAGCAAGTAGCAATGTGCCAGAGGAGCTGACAAGTCATTTGGAGAAGGCTCTGGACATAGCCAGCGGCCTGGATGACTACCTGGAGAAAATGACCACACAGGAAAGTGAACCTCTGGCACAGCTATACAAGTATGTCTTGGCTTCCTGCACATATTCATCCATAACTCAAAATACTACTGTGTAAGGTTAATAGGTTAATGTTCTCACTCATGCTTAATTATAGAAAAACAGTTTCCCATGACTGGGATCAAGTGCACAGAGAGGGCAAGACTATGTTCCGGCTTCCCAAGGAGTGCATCACTGGACATGTTGAAGGTTTGACATTTACATTTTCGTGCTCATTGTTAGTTTACCATATTGCGATAACTTGCTCATGGGCATGTTTTTGGCAGGCCAGACCCTGAAGATGCTGATCCACATGAGTGAAGTTAAGAGGGTCCTAGAGATTGGGATGTTCACAGGTTATGGTGCGTTGTCCATGGCTGAAGGGCTTCCTGAAGACGGCCGCTTAGTTGCCTGTGAGTTAGAGCCATACCTCAAAGAATTTGCCCAACCTTTTTTTGACAAGTCTCCACATGGCAAGAAGATTACTGTCAAGACTGGGCCTGCCATGGACACTCTAAAGGTCAGTATTTTTGACAGAAATATCAATGCACATGTTCTAAATATTGAGGCGATTGCATCTCCTGCATCCCCCCTCTCCAAAATCTATACCCATGCTGTAAGAGCAGATTTGAAAATTAAATATTTTGCAGTGTTTTTATTTTGCACTTTTCCTTTTAAATGCTTTAAATCGTAGTTACTGTGTGCTATGTTGGGTGCTTCGGATAATGAGAGCAGGCAAGGGTTAACACTGACTCTTCCTGTTTTTTTGTGTTAATAAGTTAACAGACTGTGGGGCACGTGGCCAGATTTCTAATAACTCTCTGTCCCTTCCAGGAGTTGGCAGCTGCAGGTGAGCAGTTTGACATGGTCTTCATTGATGCTGACAAGGAGAATTACATCAACTACTACAACTTTATTTTGGACAACAGCCTGCTGAGATTGCGAGGGGCCATATGTGTCGATAACTCACTGTTCAAAGCAAAAGTTTACCTTAAAGACACCACAGATAGCAACGGACTGGCGCTTAGAAAATTCAATGAGTTTGTCCGTAATGATCCCCGAGTGGAGCAGGTAAGGTTCAAACCTTTACATGCTACTGTATGTGTTTGACAGGTATTCTGTTTCTTATTTAGGCACTATTTTTCTTGTTTTAAAGGTCATTGTTCCTCTCAGAGATGGCATCAGCATCATCTGCCGGGTACCTGTGACCTCTGAGTGCTCTAGGACACAGGTACTGTTTAGATAACCCCAGTGTTCAAACCTCAATGGACCAATGAGGGCGTGGGATAAAACGGCTGTCATCCTACCTTCACTGGGAATTTTTTCTTTGTAATAGCACCATTCTCACTGATCATGTTTGCTTATCTTGTCACTTTGTATCAGAGTAAAATAACAGATGATGAAGTTTTCCGTGGGGTCAAGGGGCGCCCCATCCTTGATCGGATGCGTCTTGATGGAAAGGTGGCCTATGTGACGGGTGCTGGGCAGGGCATAGGCCGAGCATTTGCTCATGCTCTGGGTGAGGCTGGTGCGAATGTGGCCGTGGTGGACCTGGACCAAGAGAAAGCAGAGGCAGTGGCTGGAGAGCTCTTCCTTAAAGGTAATGTAGACTTTGAGGCATTGCTCTGATTTTTTTTGAAGTGGGGTTGAGGTGCTTGTCTATGGTCAGTGTATTACCTTTACTACATGGCGGTCAGCACGCCCCCAGTTTGGAGAGCCGGCATGAGTGCCAACTTAGAAGCTAAGCAATGGGCTGCTGTGGACTGAGGTTAGCAACAAAACGTATTTTAGCCACCAAAAGAACCCTTCCTTAAAAAAAAAAAATCTCAATATCAGTGTGCACTTTATTGCTAATATTTTCACCCCTTTACTTGCTGTCAGACAGCCCTTTCTTTTGGCACTAGATTTTCTCAACTGTAGAACCTCTGTGTTCCTACACATCTCTCTCTGTTTAGGCCAGCTCAGTTTCTCTCTACAAAAATTCTTTCTTATACTCTAGTTCATTAAAGGTTTCCTCTTGTCTCCACAGTGAGTGGCATTTTGTCGTTGCTACCATAATCACTCTTTTTAAATTTTCTTGTATTTATTGTCCTTTCCATAAACTGCTGAATGTCTGACCATGACAGCTGATCTGCAGTGTATAACACTGAGTGGCATAGTTGCACTTATGTGTAGAGGTGTGGAAGTTCAATGGTTAAGAGAATATAGTGCCAAAGGAAAGGGCTATCTGACAGCAAGGTAAAGCAATGAAAATACTCTCAATTTAGCATCCACTTAGACTGTTACTGATTTTTTTGAGGTAGGTAGGCCTTTTCAAAAGTGGCTAAAACATGTTTTGCTGCTGCCTCCTGTTTACAGCAGTACATTGCTTAGCTTTTGTGTCAGCCTCCTGCTGCTTTTCCAAACTGGGGGCATGGCGAATGCCATGTACTGAAGGTAAGACACTGACTATGGACCTCATATGACCCTACTTCAAAAAATCAAAACTGTCCCTTTAAGCATCAGCTGCATATCTCTATCTTGTTCAGTAACTCACTTGACATATAACTTGCACTCTGTACAGGGTCAGGGACTGTGTTGTGCTGTATAAATGTTTGTGTCATTTTATATAACGTCATTCATGCTGCACCTTGATCCCAGGGAAACACTCACTCTCACTCTGCCTTGCACAGAGATGTACAGTAGAATGACAACAAACTTGATTTGATTTGATAAGCAAAATGGCAGATTTACAACAAAGAGAGACTCTGTATTTGATGATAGTTGTCACATTCTGTGGAGTTCATAGGTCACATAGAGCCCAATTTGATCTCAAGTGGGCCAGACCAGTAAAACCATTGCATAATAACCAACAAATAACAACCCCTTCAAAACAGTTCCCTTTTTCTGTGTAGAGAAGTACATTCTGAAAATGTTCACCCATTTACAAAACAAATGATGAACAGCCTGCGATTTTCTGAGGAATGAGGACCATTTACAAATCAAATGTTTGGCAGTGCCTTAGCAAAAGGGGTTCCACCCATGTCATTTTAAGATAGAAATCTGATACAGATTCTTTTGTACTAAAGGTTCTGGTAAACAATATTTTGCACAATGTTCAGTTTCTTTAAACGACTATAGTAAGTATTTACTGTTTTTCAGATAACTGTATTCTGGATAGTTTAGTATTTATTTTTTCTACTTTACTGTAAAGAAAAATACATCACTTCTGAGCATTAGCTTCCTTTTAAATGTAATATAATGTAAATATCCAAGTTCATACCGACAGTTAATGTCTTAAGTGTTTTGTAAGTATACTGTGCAATAATTTCCCTGTAGTGCAAATGTATTTATTTACCTTATACCCTTTAAGATAAGGTGATTTTCACAAATTTCACAAAAAAAAGTGAATTAGATTTTCCTTTTTCTTTTGTGACAAACTGATTTGCTCTCTGCCTGTAACAGCTCTAGATATGATTAATATTAAAACAAAGTAAGGAGTGTATTAAATAATTTGATTATTAGCTTAGATTTGGTTGTATGAAATGCAGAAACTAGAAAATTGTCATATCTGAAGACACCTGAGTCAAAATGAGACAACTGTGAAAAGAGTCATTATGTAGATGTTATGTGAGGTGGTCCATCTGCGATGACAGACTCATCAAATGTCACATGGATGAATGGCCCTCTCAGCACTCAAGCATAATTTTGGTAGAACACCGTTAACCACTACATGAAAACTCTCAAACTGGGCTTGTGCACCTCAGAGTTTTTCCAAACATCAGAAATTGTAAGTGTGGTCAGGTTATGGTTTTTGGCCAGCAGATGGCAGCATACTAAAGCACAAGATATACTGTGTCAGGTTACACATGTCCCCATGAACCTGAGGATGTGTGACATTTCTCTCAATTTTCTTCCTTTACTTCCTCCTTCACTAAAAAAGCAGCAACCAAAAAATGTTAAATAATATTTTTCATCACTTTTTTTTTCAAACCTTGATCCATAATAGGATTTTTAAAATAAACTTCTAAAATGTCCAAGGACAGAGGTTGCTCATAATGTGCGTCATGTTACAATATGTACAAGCTATCCTAACAGACATCCATGTTTTTTTCTGTTTTGAAACAGGCATCAATGCTTTTCCGATCACAGCTGACATCGGCAAATCAGATGATGTCCAGAGGATGATTGACAGCATTGTCTCCAAATGGGGGGCGATCCATATCGCCTGTAACAACGCTGGCATTAATATGAACTCAGCCAGTGAAGACACCAGTCTAGAGGAGTGGGACCAAACCTTTAACGTCAACCTGAGGGGGACATTCATGTGCTGTCAGGTGTGTATCACCTGCTCTAAAAGCAGGCGTGTGTGTGAGAGAGACTGTGGCTGCCAATTTATTTGCTTCACTGTATCACAGAGTGTGATTAAAATTTTCAGACAAACCAAAAAAATAAAAAAAGTATTAAATGTAAATATATTTAATTTGAGTTCAATTTTGATTTATGTTGATGGTTTAACTCCAAAATAAATAGTGTCATTAGATTTTCACTCAAGTCACGTACTGCTGTGAAATTAGATGCAAAGACAAGTTGTGCTCCAAACAGTATATAAACACTTCAATGTTCCTTTGACAAACACTGGATCTAAGGGTTTTGGAAATATCAGACAGAGAAGAAAAAATATAATACATGTATAGATTAAAAAAAAGGTCTGCACCAGTGCTCAATGTTGCAATTCCCCAAACAATATGAATAGTTCAAATTGTGCATGGATTACTTTAATATGAAAGTATCATTTGCTATTGTGCAGACTAAACTTCCACGACAACCAACATATGAAGGCATATGGTAGTAAAGCTTTGGGAGCAGTTACTTCACCTAATACTTCATTTTGTCAAAAAACCCCACCAAATTTGAAAATGTGTTTTTTTTTACCAGACAGCACTGTACAGCAGGTACTAATGGTGGAAGAAGTATTCAGATCTTTGACTTATGTAAAAGTAGCAATCCAACAGTATAGAAACAGTGTAGAGATATTTTGTTAAAAGTCCTGCATTCAGTAAAGATACAAAAATAGAAACACTGAAATATATGAGAAAAAGAAAAAGTAAAAGTATTCATTATGCAGAATGGCCCATTTCAGGATATTATATAAGCTTTTGTATTATTGAGTTAATTATTGATGAATTAATGTGAACATCACTCTAATTTTGCAGCTGGTAAAAGTGAGGCTGCTGGGTAGCTTGTGAATTTCACCAATGACTCAATAAAGTTTTATCTTTATCCATAAAATACATCATAATTTATTTGTTGATTATATTTGTAATAATAATTTGAATCTGCACAGTAACAAATTTTGTAAAATAAATGCAGTGAAGTAAAAAGTACAATATTGGCTTCCAAAATGAAGTGTAGTGGAAACATAAAGTAGCAAAAAGTTGAAATAGTGCAAGTGCCTCAAAATTTTACTTAAGTACGATACTTGAGTAAATGTTTTAATTAAATTCCACTAGTATAAATACATATAATAGAGGCAAAGCCACAGAGCTGTAACAGTAAAACCTGTGACCTGTGTTTTCATACTTGGGAAATAATCTTGAGTTATGTTTGCGATATTGAAATAAAAAATGGAAAAGTTTACCAGTTCTAAATAGTTTTGTAAGTCCGCCATCAATTTGTTAGAGAATCTATGTCGAAAGAACCAAGTTGATTTTTGATAATTTATTTCTTTAATAGTTTATATCTATCAAAACCAGTTGTAGTGTGACCTAATTACTGGTCCAAGCAGCCTAAATTACTCTGTAGTTACTAAAATTAGTTCTAGATTATCAAGTCTATGCCAGACAGACATCTGAATCTATCTATCTATCTATCTATCTATCTATCTATCTATCTGTATATATTTTCTTTTCATTTTTTTTTTATTTGTGAGGTTATATATGCCCTACCACCCAAATGTTGTTTAACCACTATCTATCTCTGTCTGTGAGGATAAACTCCATGTTTTTGTGTTGATCCGTGCTCAGGCTTTTTGGTAGCATATCAGTGCCATAATAAGGTGTTTAATGTGCCTCTTTCCCCTGAATCCTTGCCTTAGGCAGCAGGTCGAGTGATGTTGAAGCAAGGATACGGCAAGATTATCAACACAGCCTCCATGGCCAGTCTAATAGGTGAGTGATGATTCTATTCCCCCACCTTCTCTCTGGAGCCCCTCCATGTCTGCTTTTAATCTCTCCATTTGGCGTGGAGAGTTGGGTCGAGAGGAGGAGGAGGAGGAGGGTGGAGGAAGGGAGAGTTAAGTACATTTGTGCTGTACAGCTATGTGCGGGAGTACACATCATGTTAAATAGTTTTTATCGTCAGACAGGAAGTCGTCAGACCGTTACAGTGGTTGAAATAAAAAAAAAGAGCTGCAGTTTTCCTGTTTATGAGAAACTTATCCTTTTGAAACAGGATTAGCCAGCTTTTCTTCTTTGCAACTTTCACCCCAGTTCTATAGAGATGCATCCACCCCTGCATACAGTAAGCACAGCAGGAAAACTGTTGTGATTGCGTCTCGCCGAGGCGGTTTTGCATCATAATAAACATCCCCTCTCTGCGGAGCTGTCTGGAGGATGTGGAAGGCAACCTGAGGTCCAACTTGGGAAGGGAGGGTTCCTGTGCAACGGCAAAACCCCAGCCTGTGCCAGCAGCCTTGTTTGAACAGCGGAAGACACTTTCAGAGTTTAGCGAGAGCCTAGTAAAAGCCTTGTATAATGTTCCTCCTCCAACAGGTTCCTCCAGAGGAACAGCAACACTTCATCAGCAGTATAGTCAAATCGCCAGTAAACCGCTGTGCCATATGGGCCCCAGTCCCGACTGCAGGGGCAATCTGTAAAACAGGAGCATGCTGGTAAATAGAGGCCGGCATAAAAAAATGATCAATTACTCACATTACGTACAGTCCTTCAGGAATTTACTTTATTGGTCTGGACATCTGTTATAATATTGTCATAATGTGTAATCAGATGGGACCTGTTCTAGCCAAGTGGAAGCCCAAAAAGCAGCCGTAAATGCCCAATTAAAATGCACAATGACAGCTTTTTGTCCATCTGCTGAATGGAATGTGTGTGTGCCCACTGACACCCCCTCCACACACACACACATACACACTCCCGACCATCAACCACCATTTTTTTCTGAATAATGGCCAGCAGCTCAAAGACACCCAGACAGGAAATATCCAAGTTGATATGATCACACTGAGTTTTTTTGGCTGCATGATGACCTTAACTGAAGGATTTGCGACTCTCACACTCGTACCTGCAGATCTCAGCTGCATAGTAATGTACATAACAACAGCCGTGCCATTCTGGGAAAAGGAGTGCATCATTTGAACTCGGAAGAATTCAAGGCGTGCCTGATAAAGAGCATGTTTTCTCCCACTTGAAATGGGCAATAAGTAGCAGGGTGAATGTTAAAGAGGGCTTTGGATGCTCTCCTTCTACCTCCTTTTCCCTTCTCTGGGGATTACTGCTCTTTAAGACGGCGAAAAACATCAATGCAGGTTTATTTAAAGGATGAAGGCATTTTCTGAATGGTATTTTGGGGCCGTATCATCAGGTCTTGAGCGAGGATTAGTGCTGTTAGGCATTTTGAGCTGTGTTTCCTGTCCTGATAAGTCGGATTTCACCTTCAATCTGCGTGTAAGCCCTGGGCTCTGCTCCTCCTCGCCTGCTCCTCTGAGGTCCTAGCCTACCCTTATCCAGCCCAACCCAACCTCACCATCATCTGCTATCTCGCCACACTCTGCACAATCCCACTCTGCACTATCAGCTGCCGTTGTCCCACCCTTTACATCTTATTTCTTTAGCAACTTTTACCTCTACCACGCACATTTTTCTCCTTTTATCCAAGAAGTGTATGCGGGATGCTGCAGCCTTTTTCTCCCCAGGACCGGTCCCTGCCTCTCTGCAGCTGGCTGGTATTTATCATCCCCGGTCTCACACTGAAGCCATTTGGCAGTCAGATCGGCGGGTGATGAGGTTAACTACTAAAGTTGTATGTAACTTGGAGCCTTCCTTGTGATGATTAATCAACCAGCAGAAAATGAGCCCCTGTCCCGTTATCCCATGCAGTGTGCAGCATCTGTGATGGTCAAGGCAAACAAATGGCTCCCTGTCTTTGTTGCTGAGGACAGAGCATAACTGGACATTATAAGCAATTAATTTTACATGGCTTCATCCTCAGAGTCCTCAGCAGCTAATGGAAGAGCTTTTATGTAGTATCCACAAGAAACCGCAGGAGCTGCAATATAAAATGTATATGTTGTCAGCTTTTGTGAGAGAGGAACAATTGCTCTTTTTTCCCTCAGTTAAAGAAATGACTCCTAAAAATAAAAGATCTTTTTAATGACCACCTGAGAACTGTGAAAGTGCATACCTTTATTAATGCAGTAAATCTTATCTTTATAAAATGCTGCACTGTGTCTGTTTAGGGCAGCGATACTTAACACATGGCCCGGGGCCCGAATGGTGCTATGTGGCCCACCAACCATATTTTAATTCACAGTAAAAACATAAATTAATTTACACCTGATTTTGAATGTAAATAAAGGGCCAGTGTGCATTCAGAAGGCATGAAAATACAGCTTGTTTCAATGGCTAAGACAAAGGGCTCTTAGGCACAGATATGCAAGGGGGCCCCACCATCTCCTACACAGGAGCAAGACACACAGACTTTGAGGTGGTTTCCATCTCTTTGTAGTTGTTATGCATCTTTATGTGGTTTTGTGTCTGTTTGTGGTTATTTTTTTGTCCCTTTGTGGTTGTTTTATGTCTTTTTGTAGTCCTTTGGGTCTGATGTAATTTTGTATCTTATTGAGTTCACTTTGGGCCCTGGGGCCTGTACCTGGTAGGCCCATTCAGTAATCCATCCAAGCTTGTTTATCAAAAAGATTGCTGGAGTGGATCCTCCAGCCACCCACACAGAGGTCAGGGCTTAGCCCCAAATGTCCTCAAATTCTAGAAACACCCCTGTTTGCTGACACTGGATTTGTTTTTTGGCAAGATGAGTGAGGACAGCAAACACTGAAAGGTTAAAAACAGGCAGTTCATTACCTGATTAATATTATTAATGTTTGTTTATTAACTGACACTTGGCCTCCTCTTATTTTGCAAAAGTGCCACATGGGCAAAGCAAGTTGAGTGTGCCTGGTTTAGAGGTAACTGAGTTTTCTTCCCATGCTCTACCCTGCAGTACCCCATCCCCAGAAGCAGCTCTCCTACAACACATCCAAGGCTGGAGTGGTCAAACTGACTCAGACTCTGGGCACAGAATGGATTGACAGAGGAGTGCGTGTCAACTGCATCTCACCGTAAGTGCTGTCTATTCTTGGCCGCCTTCTCTCACAATTTTGTGCCAAAACACACTGGTCCACCTTTTAGTGTTGTGAGGGATCGAGCTGCAAGGGGAAGTGGTGATTAGTGTGTTTGCTTTCATATGAAGAGCCCCATTTGAGAATGATGCACTAATTTAAGTCCTCAAACAATACATCAGTGCTTAATTAGATGACGTCTTGAGGGATGAATCAACCAAACACTTCCTCTAATTGTTCTATTCAATTAGGGAATCAAATTTGCAACCTCACTCCAAGTGTCGGCGCAACAATAGCGCCTTGTTTGTATCTATTTGTCTGTGAAGCTGAGCAGGGGGAAGAAAAGAGGAGAACACAGTGAGGGCTGTGTGTGTGTGTATGTGTGTGTGTGTGTGTGTGTATGTGTTAAGTGGAGCATCCCTTAGCCCCAGCCATCCCTGAGCAAATCCGTCCAGTGGCACCGGGCGAGCCAGGCCCAGTCACAGCCCCAGAACAAAGCCCTCACACACACGCGCCGCGCTCAGCTTTATTTATCGGCAGCTTGTTTGCTAATTTTAATTTGCAAAGAAGCAATTCTCTCTCTCTCCCCCTCGCTAACTGGGTGTCTCAATGGGCCGCTGATTTCTTTGAAGTGACAGTCGGTAAATATGCATAAAAAAGGGACACAATTAGCGCTCACGAGGTTGACTGGAGCCTGATTCCATTGGCAACTTTAGCCGCAGCGGTGATAAGCTGCATTATCTAGAAAATTGGCTGAGGGAAAACAGTACCTCTGATTGCCAGCAAAGGTTCCAGATAACAGGGCAGCTGAAGAGAAATATAATTGAGGTGGAATATGTTAACCAAGGTGTCACACGCTCCTTGGAAGTGCTAATTTAGCCAAATGTTGGAATTCCATATCAAGGCGCCAGGATACATCGAACAATGATTCGGGCCTCACGGCTTTTAGTCACTGTCATGTCAATTGTGTAGAAAGTCAGAAGTCGTCTCATATTAGGCACAGGCGGGCGTGTTGACATATTTATTCAGATGTAAGCTCTGTGATACTTTTATTGTAGAAAGTGGAGAAAACTGCATTTGTTGTGAGCTATTAGACGCCAGCGCAGTCACAAATCCAAAAGCAGCACACCTGTTTTCTTATAAATCCCACCTAAATATGGACATCAGAGTAGGAATATGATGGAGTTGCATATACTTAACCAGAGGCTTTGAGCAAATTAAGCCAGACGTCCCCTCACACCCGTAGGCTCTTCCTGAGATGTGCCAGCAGTCCCGCAGTAAACATCATCAGAGATGCCATGCCATGCCCTTTCTTCAAAGGATAATTGGGTTTATTTTTGTCACCAAAGTGGTGACTCTGAAACAACGCTGTCACTCCTGGCTCTGAGCTGTGATGCCTTCTGATTTCATTGTGTTTTTTTTTTCCCCCCTCTCTCTTTTCAGGGGGATTGTTGACACCCCTCTCATCCACTCAGAGAGTCTGAGGCCTCTGGTGCAGCGCTGGCTGTCAGATATCCCTGCTGGTAGACTGGCTCAAGTGACAGACCTGCAAGCTGCAGTGGTCTACTTGGCATCTGACGCCTCCGACTACATGACAGGGCATAACTTAGTCATAGAGGGTGGGCAAAGTCTGTGGTAGAGAGGGTAGATGAAGAGATGAAAACTTTTTTTTCTCCTTTTCACTCTCCTGGGATGAGTCTCTGAAATAGGTGACATTCACATGATCTCATTTTGACACACTCTCAGCAGTATTAGTTAAACTCTGACTGGATCTTTAACTTTTGGTGAGTTAACATCTGTTTCATGGTGTGAAGAGTTAACTGGTAGCTTTTAGTCCTCTGCATGTCCTGTACAGGTTCTGTTTGCTGTAACGTGTTATGACTGTGGCACACTGAACTTCTTAGTGGATGAAAAACACTGTATCATGTTAAATACACAGCTATCAGTCTTCTTGTCACACAATGTGCTAACATGTCTGAGGAAATCTCTGTGAAGTCCAAAAAAAAAGAGAAAAATGTTACTGAGCCTTTAAATATGTCACAAGTTCTGTCCTATGATTTTTTGACATTATACATTAAATGCTGTGAAAACCGCAACCATTGTGATAGATGAGACACTTACATCTTAAATACATACCACAGATAGAAATCAATCTTTTCAGAATCAGAATCTAAAATACATGTTTCCTTTTACCTGTAGTGTTCTTTATTGATCTAGATTGTTTTGGTGTGAGTTGCAAAGTGTTGGAGATATCAGCTGTAGAGATGTCTGCCTTCTCTCCAATGTAATGGAACTAGATGGCACTCATCATGTAGTGCTCAAGTCATCAAAAAAATACAGTTGAAAAACTCAACAGCAATGTCTCTTTCCAGAAATCATGACCGGGTTAATCAAGATAAACCACAGACCCTCTTGTGAGCAGTTTCATGTAGGAACTATTTTCTTTCTACTAAACTACACCCACCAACAGTGTCCCTGTGCATAAGGACATGTGCATTTACTCTACTGCTAACTCACCTAGCACCACTGAGCTAGCTAATGTTACAGCTCAGAAGAGATGGACACCATTAATGTTTACATCTTGTACTGTCATGAGCAGAAGCCTCTTGTGGTGATACAGTTGGCGGATGTAGTTTGGTAGAAAGAAAATAGTTACTATATGAAACTGCTCACAACAAGGTCTGTGGATTATTCGGAATAATCGGGTCATAATTTCTGGAAAGAGACATTGCTGTTGAGTTTTTCCAAATGTATTTTTTGGCATTTTTAGCACCACAAGCCGAGTGACATCTAGTTCCACTATAGTGGAGAGAAGTCAGACATCTCTATGGCCGATAACACTCCTCACACCTCACACCAAAACAATCTAGAGTGACAAATAGCACCACAGGTAAGAGGACAAATATGTCACACATTGAAATCTTGTTGTTTATTAGTTTAAATGTTCTTATAAAATGTACAGAAAGTATCAGAATGACTGCTTCAGTGATGACGACCAGATCACATTCACCAGAGTAGGATGCCAGTAAGTTGTTTTGTGCACCTTGACTTACCACTCCCTGTGGCCCAAGACTATTGTGTACCATATGCAGGATAACGGCATCCCAGACTGCCTCTCTCCAGCTCTTTCTTGCCAAATGGTCCCCACAAGTGGTGCTTGTGAACGCCATCTTAATTGCTCTATTAACTGTTTGTGCGCTGAAAAACAATACTTAAAGGAGAGGTTAGCCGAGGACGTGACCCCAGTCACTGCAATTATACGGAAAGTAGTGGCCAATTAGTGCTCTCTGCAATGTGACACTGTTTGGTGTTTATGTGAGCAACTTCAACTTCTCACTGTTAGTGACCGTTCTCTGATTTACATAATTGAGGGATTGGTCATTAATGGGAATGGCGTGTGAGAGGATCCCATTAAGATATGGAGTGAGATCTGATCATCTCCTCTGCTCTGTGCTATTTATCTCCAGCTGCATTGGCACATTAGAAATTATTGGGATTCTTATCCTCGTACTTAATAGCGAAATATCGAAGTTTGCACACACAGTGTGCGCATGCAAGGTCTTGCAGGATGTGTTCACACGGAGGCAAATTGTCTTATATAGGCCATGTCCCTGTCTTGCCACTGAGGGGCAGTATAAAGACAGGCAGCTACAGCCCTGACACAAGGACAGTGTTACAACAAGAGGTTATCACATCATTTGCTATCATCTAAAGGTAATAACAGTGAACTCTGTTTTAGGTGTTTGAGATAAAACAAGACCACCTCTCCAATTCTAGTATGCAAACAGCTCAGCATGAGAGACAATCAAAGAAATGCTGAACAAATACTCATATTTTCAATTAAATGTGGTTTGATAGTAGACTGTTACATTTCAAATGCATTAAATATGTAATTCTATCCATCATCTTGGAGATTGGAGTAGCCTTTAAAGTCGACAGACAATGAAGAGCAAATATGAATCTGTAACATGAGCTGATAAATTCCAAAATCCATTTGCATCTACAGACCAAATCTTTTCTTAAGATAAACAGGATTCCAGTTAACAACCTTAGTGTTTCTCTCTTCCATTTGTACTTTACTATCCAAGTTAAATAAAGGAGAAGTTGGTACATTCTGTGGTTACTTTTGACAATTACTACAAATGATTGGGATTGTTGCATCCCAAAGTGTACCAAAAAGTTGAAACACACAGATGAGACTAAACCTGCTTTTACCCATAGTACTTCTGTTTGCAGCGGTTCACAATCATCATTCAGTGCAGTGTCTAAACTGTTGTTTTGCCATCATGTTCTGCACCATAATAAACTCTTTCACAGCCCTCTTGGAGGTCTTGTTTTCCTTTACAATTGCAGCTAAAAGAACCAAATCTATAATTTGATCTGCAAAATGTGATATCCCCCTCGAATGCCATACAGTGGCCTGCTTCATGAAGTGTAAGTGATCTTGAATCCATTATTTATGACCTCCTTTTGCTACCATTACACTGACGAGTGGGACCCTGTTGTACGTAGCACTGTTGTGCTAAACAGTTCTCCAGCAGAAAACGCCACTCGCGCCCTCACACTTGAAATCAACTTTGATTAATGCTCGGCTCTGTCACGGCATGCAACATTTTACAGCGGCAGGCGTTCAGAGGGAGACCTGGGTCGATGGCGAACAACACGGTGAGGCAATATGTGTTGCTGAGCAGGCTGTGTCCTGGTGACAAGAGGACCCAAGGGTTTATGGATGACATATTAACATTTGACAATATCAATACACTTTTATTGATGGATTATGGCGTCCTGTTACATACCCACTCAGTGAGGTGTTTGAAGATGAAATGTTACCCCTTATAAATTGAGTTGAGCCCCCAGATGCTATCATCAGAGGTAGGACTGGGCAACAGCAAGAGGAAATATCCACATTTATCTTCTACTAAAGGCTGGTGGTGCTGTGTGAACTTCTAACTGAATGACTCAAGGCGATTTAATTTGGTGATTACTTGACGGAAAATCTGATCAGCGTTTGCTTCAAAACAAATGGAAAAACTTTGCTGTGTCATGCATTACCTTAAAAGCTTGTTCATGTTAAGAAAATGTCTTCAATTTATTAAAATGAACAAAGGCAGCAGCTGGAAATAAATGCAGCCACTGTATTTTGCAGCTGCTAAGACTTTTTAGACTTACATAAACCTGTAAATTGAAAGTTCTGTATGCAATATTCAGAGCAGTAAAACAGCAGCAAACCACTATTTGTTAAAGAAAGACACAGTGAAGTAGTGGTGTCCTGACCGGAGAATGAAGTCATGCACTCTTTGTGTGTGTTGTAATCGGAGCTTCTCTGTGGTTTGTTGTTTTAAGCAATTGCAGTCACGTGTGCATGTTAGCGCATGTGTGTATGTCACTGGCTAGCTCATTGCCGCACTTTGCACTTCGCTCATACAGCAGTTACCGCTGATATCAGGACGGCCTTGTCATGGAAGGATAGTGCCCACCCTCTGGTTCCCCATGGTCAACACCATTAGCACTGTTTCAGCACTGTTATCAGTGTTTATGCACTTTGACCTGTTAGCCACCAGCTCCACGTTGGGAACTGTGTGCAGAAAACCTATACAGTCTAAATTTTGCAAAGAGCCCTTTTAAAGGAATAGTTTTGGGATATACATGTCTGCTCTTTCGCTGTCATGCAAAGAGATGAAAAGATTGATAAAACTCTCATGTTTGTACAGTAGCTTAAATGTGAAGCTAGCTGCTTGCCATTTTTGCTTTTTTTTTGTGTACGGATAAAATAGAGATATAACATCATAATAGAGTGCTGCAGGGATTATGTTTTTTCGTAAGTTTGCATCGCAATAGTTCCCTTGTCAAAAAGCCTGTGGATTTTTTCCATTGGATTTTGGATTATTGCAGGAAATAAGATCAATGGCAGCAAGAAAATCTTCACAAATGAGCACCAGTTTTAAGATTTATGAAGTCCAAATGCAATCGGCAGAAGTAAAAAGCTAACGCTATAGGCTATAAACAAACTTCACCACAGTCGCCTGAGTAATGTCACCAACCCAACCAGGCTAGAAAGCTGTGTTTGACATGATGACATGTGGTCTCATTTAGCTTTTTGTTAGCAGCGACCTTTTTTGAGACACCTAAAAACTACGAGTGGGGTATTTACAGACAGATTTGATGTTGTAGAACAAAACTTAAAATTCTCTTAAGCTTGTGTTAACCACATAGGCTTACCTTCTCAAACATCTTACCAAAAACACAAAAACACTGACTTCAAGTCAAGGGAACTGGAAGGGCTAAAATGCTAACTCATATCCAGGTTGTTGGACTTCTTCATGAGTGAGCTGTAGTGAGGCTAGTCATTTTGTTAAGCCAGATATGAAGCTGTAGTTTCATATTTGGCGCACATACACAATAATGATTTTCTCATGTAACTCTGCAGAAAGCAATTAAGCCTATTTCTCAAAATGTAAAACTACTCGAAATTAGAATACAAGACAAAATGAACAACAAATAATCAAAGTTCATGTCTATTTATTTGAGTTCACTCTCTTTCACAAAAGCATCGGCACGGACTATTGACTGCTGTTTCATTTTGATCAGGAGAGGTTGCGTCAAGTTTAGCCTTTTGTGTTCTCATGTGATTCCGTGTGTGTGTGTGTGTGTTGCACTTGACTCGCTGAAAGCACTGGATCATTGTCTACCAATGTTTGTTATCTCATGTGTTATTCATTGAAAAAGCTGTTTTGCTGTTTGCTCTCCTCACGCTACCTGCTGACTTCACACAGGGTCACTTTAACTGGCTGCTGTGTGTACTCAGACGGACTGCCAATAAATAAAAGTGTGAGGACTTTCTCAAGCTGCATTATTACATCGTATTCCCTTTGAATACTTGTGAGGTGACTTGCACAATCAGGCTTTATTAAAAACTTTTTACCAAAATCATGTCTCACATATTGTTGTTGTGTTCCCTTTAGTTTCTTGGCTTTAAAACGCAGGATTTTTCATAATCAAATCAAAACATACCTGACGTGTTTTTCTTTCATTATTTGCCATGACTGCAATAACACAGATGTGTTCCACTTGTTTCCTTCATTTCACTGTTTGTATT